TACACCTGGTTTCCTTTTTTTCACCTGTAGCTTCAGAAATGGAGCAGTTAAAGATCAGCCCAGCTGCCATGCTAGAAGATGAGATCACGTGGCTGGATAACTTTGAACCCAACCGCACAGCTGAGTGCGAGACTAGTGAAGCTGACAACATTTTGTTAGCGGGACACTTGAGGCTCATTAAGACTCTCCTTTCACTGTGTGGGGCAGAGAAGGAAATGCTTGGTGAGTATCTCTGTGGGTGGCAGTGTACCGAAATCCATTTGAATTTGATATCTGTAACTCGAGGATGCCTAGTTCCGATTGGGAAGATAGGTACTATGAGCAAGGCTGTTTTTTTACATTAGAGAAAAGTGGTAGGGTATAGTGCTACAAGAGAACTTGCTTAAGTCAGTAACCACAATCCTTGTTGCAAATTTGAAATTCTTTTAATAGACTGCATAATCTTTTCCTGCTTTTGCGGGTACAGAGAAATTTACAGGAAGACGTCACTGTTGTGCCTGCATGTTGTTCTCTCGTCCTTCATGGGTACAGCAAAAGCAGATCCGAGCATGCTTTTCTTTGACAGTCACTAATGTCTTATTGCAATATCAGTAATGAATTAAATAAGGCACATTGCTGGAAGGTTAATATGACACCCTTCTAAATAGGTGACCCTCATGGCAATAGATGGTTTGGGGGCTCTTTGAAGTAACACTTCAGATGTCTAACACTAGCTGTGGCTTTGCTCTGTTACAGGTTCATCTTTGATTAAACCATTGTTGGATGATTTCCTCTTCCGAGCATCCAGGATTATCCTGAATAGCCATTCTGCGGCTGGCAGTGCTGCCCTCACTCAGCAGGACTTTCACCCAAAGTAAGTAGTATTTTGAATCTTGTACAATAAAACCACAATAAAGTTCTTGCCTAGCCAGATGGCTCCTTGGGGGAGGAGCAATAGTACAGTGGGTTATTATTTTTCTTGAGCACTCAAACAGTTAATAGCCAGATACTGGTGCAGTTGATAACTAGGAGTATCAGAGCTGCATCTGCTCAGTTCTTGTGTGTACTTAAACCCCCACTAATCTGTGATCCCCAAGATTCCAGTTTAGCCAGCAGGTCCACAAAAAACTTCACATACAGCAGACAGCTGCTATATCTTTGCATAGCATTGGTGGTGTCAAGGAGCACACAGCTCCAGGCTGCTATGCTCTAGACTACTTCTGATACATGAGCTAGCTTGTTCAAAGCCAGCTGATGAAGTATTTTTACACTGCCCTTCAGTTCGTGCTGTGGATAATACTCATTGTCTATCTAGTACTTATTTGGTTCTCATCACTGTAGCAGATGAAGGCAGGGAAGGGGGGTGGCACCACAGAGACCAACTCATTCAGAGGGGCATAAATGTCCGTATCCCACAACTGTTTAGAAATAAGAGCAGTCCCTCATCTTCTTTTCCTGGCCTGCGGAAGAAATAGTTTGATTTTTTTTTTTTTACTGTATTTGGTGATCCCACTGAAAGAGGCAAATAGTTTTGCACTTCATTTTATGCGGTTAGGTTTGTAATCATTATCTTTTGTGTAGTGGGTTGGGTTAGAATCTAGTCCCAGCGCTTGAAATTTGTGTCTCCAGCGTTACAGATTTTAGTTTTTCAGTATCTAAAGTAGTAATGGTGTCTTTTTTTTAAACTACTTGTTAATAGTGATTACAACCAATTCTTTAATTTGCAAAATATTTTTTGCCTTGTTGTAGTTTAGATTATTTTGTCTCAGCTTTTTAACATACTCTTCCTGCTTACTATAGTAGACTGAACCTCAGAAGTGAACCAGGGTTTTTTCCCCGACTGCCCTGTAACTACAAAAAGCACCTCCTGAACTAGGACCATCTACATGCAGTTATTGCTGTGAACATACTCCTAACTTTTCCAAAAATAGCATTTGCTGACCTACAGCAAGTTTGAATCAGTTTCTCCAGGTGTTGTTTTTCTTTGACAGTTAGAATTTGATTGCTCATTATGACTAACATGACTTGCCAGAATTGAAAATGATGAAAGTACAAGTCATCTACTAAATTCATCCCACTTATGGTTTTTTTCCTAGGTGCAGTACAGTGGATAGTCGATTAGCAGCTTATGAAGTCCTAGTAATGTTGGCTGATAGCTCACCTACCAATCTTCAGCTGATCACAAAAGAGCTGCTTTCTATGCACCATCAGTCTGACCCTGCTCTTACGAAGGAGTTTGATGTAAGCAAGATGCTTTGATGACATTTAAATTGGTCAGTGTGGTTTGAAACACTGCTTTTAGCTAGTTATTTTCTCCAGCCACAGACTTTCCATCATCTTAACCTGGCAATAATCAGACCTGAATTAATACAGGTCTATTTGATCTTTCCCAAGAGAAGTCAGCCTATAGAATCTCACTCTTATTGACAAGAAAAACTTGAACCTCAGGATCCCTGTTTCTGTGTTGTTTTGCTTCTTTATTTAAAAAGCACATACATGTTCTTTTTAGATATTTAGCTTCAATATCAATTATATAGCCAAATACAGTGTTTGAATGCATATTTCTCATAAGTTTAACACACATACTCAGATTTATGTGAAAACAACATAGCATTTATAATAGCCTCTATAATCATCTGAGTTTATTGGAATCCTATCTTTTATGTAATTTACTAGTAAAGAGAAATTTCTCCACCTTTCCCCTAGTATCTTCCACCAGTGGATAGTCGATCCATTTCAGGATTTGTAGGACTGAAGAATGGTGGTGCTACTTGTTATATGAATGCAGTCTTCCAGCAGCTCTACATGCAGCCAGGTCTCCCTGAGGTAACCAACTTAATTTCCAAGAAATATTTTCTGCCAGCAAACATTTTAGCTTTGTTGTAAATTAGAGCTGGATGAGAGAGTGTACTGTATTTGGTTGCATACACATCCACCTTTTTCCCCAAAAACCAGCTGCTGGAAAGTAGAGTGCACATTACATACAAGAATAATGATAAGGAGGGGCAGGCAATCATTTTGGGTGGAGGGCCTCTTAACAAGTTTTGGTGAGCCATCGAGGGCCGCAAGGGTAGCCCTGCCCCTTGACACGTGCTCTGCCCCCTGGTCTCCATCTTGGAACCGGATGTATTCCTTTTGGCAAGGGGACTTGCCATCTTGGAACTGGAAAAAAAAACAAATTATATTCTAAAAATCAAACATCTATTACAACATACATTAATTTGATTTCAAAAATATTTTTTTGAAATATTTTTGATCTTTCACAAGACCAAGGGGAACAAGACACCAGGTAGGGCACAGAGCAAGCAGGTTGAGATTGACATCGTTCCCACCATTGCCATAGAACTGGTGTACGACCAATTGAAGAAATTAGACGTATATAAATCAGCAGGACCGAATGAACTCCACCCAAGTATGCCGCAAGAGTTGGCCGAAGTAATCGCGGAGCCCCTGGCAAAGGTCTTTCAAAAATCATGGACCTCTGGAGAAATCTGAAAGAGAGCCAATGTTGTGCCCATCTTGAAGGGGAAGCGTGAAGACCCAGGAAACTACAGGACAATTAGCTTAACTTCTATTCCAGGGAAGGTCCTAGAAACATTCATCGAAGAGGCTATATGCGACTAACTTGCAGAAGGCATGGTGCCTGAATGACAGCCAGCATGGCTTCGTAGTGGGCAGGTCTTGTCTGACCAACCTCGTTTCTTTCTATGATCAGGTGACTTGTCACCTGGACAAGAGAAAAGCAGTTGACATCCAATACCTCAACTTCCAGAAAGCCTTTGACCTGGTATCCCATGAGGTACTGATCAGAAAACTGAAAAATATCGGGCTCAACTGCAAGACTGTCAAGTGGGTACGAAACTGGTTGTGGGGTAGGACACAGAGTCCAAATGAATGGATTGGTGTTGTCCTAGTGAGATGTGGGCAGCGGTGTACCCCAGGGGTCGGTACTTGGCCCAGTGCTGTTCAACATCTTCATCAACGACCTGGATGAGGGGATGAAAAGCCCATTGGCCAAGTTCGTGAACATCACCCAGATATGGGGTTGTGCAGACACACCCACAGATAGGCTGCAGATACAAGCAGACCTAGACAGGCTGGCATGTGGGGCAGAACGGAACCAGATGAGGTTCAATGTAGAGAAATGCAAAGTGCTGCATCTGGGAAGGAAGAGCCCCCAGCACACCTAAAGGCTGGGCATCGCTAACCTGGCCAGCTCTCCAAATGAAAGGGATCTTGGGGTAACGATAGACCCCAGCTTGATTATGAGCCAGCAATGCAACTCAGTAGCCAATACTGCTACTGAGTTGCAGTATTGCAACTGCAATACTGCAACTGCAATACCGCTGGGGCCAATAAAACTCTGGCATGCATCAATCAATGCATCTGCAGTAAAACCAAGGAAGTGATTCTCCCACTTTACTCAACATTGGTGCAACCGCAGCTGAAGTATTGCATCCAGTTCTGGGCGCTGCACTTCAACAAGGATGTGCTAAAGCTCGAGAGGGTCCAGAGAAGGGCCGCCCGCATGACCAGGGACTTGCATGGCAAGCCATATGAGGAGAGGCTGAGAGATCTCGGACTCTTCAGCCTAAAGAAAATAAGGCTGAGAAGGGACCTGATTGTGGCTTACCGCTATATCAGAAGGGTACATCAGGGGCTCGGTGAACAACTCTTCACCAGGGCACCCTGGGGGAAAACTAGAAACAGCAGCCATAAACTCCTGGAAGATGGTTTCAGGCTGAACGTTAGGAAAAACTTCTTCACGACTAGGGTGTCCAGACTACGGAACAAGCTCCCCCCAGAGGTGGTGCAGTCATCTACCCTAGAGGTCTTCAAGAGAAGACTGGACTGTCACCTGGCTGGGGTCGTCTGACCCCAGATGTCTTTCCTGCTCATGCAGGGGCTGGACCTGATGATCCTTCGGGGTCCCTTCCAGCCCTGATTCTATGATTTTTGTCTTGATTTGTGTGTGTTTGCATAATGTACATAGAAGTTATTGCATAAAAATTTACATTGAAGTCTCTTTTGTATATTGTTGGGGGCGTATGAAGGAGTGTGGGGGGTATGGATGGGTGGGCACGGGGTTTGTAGGGTCTGTGGGTGTGTATGTGGAGTGTGGGTGTGTGTGGATATGTGGGTTTTGGGGGATGTATGGGTTTGGGCGAGTATGGGGTTTGTGGAGAGCTGTGTGTGTGGAGGGGAGGATGGCTGGTGGAGGTTGTGGCATGTGTAGAGGGGGAAGCTGGCTGCAGTGTGTGCGGGCGTGTGGGGTGGCGGGGCATAGGTACATGTCTATGGCAGTGTGAGTGGGAGGTGTGGGTACATGTATGTGGTGGGGTATGTGTGTGAGACCCCCATACAAACATGTCCCTCCCATGAACACCCCCACCCTCATTGTGCACAGCTCCTGCCACCAGCACAGCAGGTGGCAAGGCCTCGGGGCACTCGTGGCCCACCACAGGCGGAGACCCCCGATGGTGCACGGTCCCAGTAGGCCCCAGGACTGCACATGGCCGGGCTGCTGGTAGGGCACGAGGAAGAGGGGGC